TCAACGTTCATGCACCGATTTTTCAATCCATAACGAGAAATTCTTCAACTCAGGTCGAACAATTAACGGCGCCGGTGGTGTAATGGTAAGCGTGATTACCTCTCACCCCAGCAGGCCTGGGTTCAATCCCAGTCGGCGCCGCCGGGATGTTCTGAGGCATAACATCTCTGATCACGCCTTCCTTCGGATGGGAAGTAAAGCCGTTGGTCCCCGGTTCATGAGTTGATGGGTCGATAGGTAGGGTCCAGGTGTGGGAGCTGCCTTCCTGGCACGTCGGTAGCATTGGTGCTCAGCACGGAAAACAAGATCGACGGAAAAAACAAACCAAAGGAAAAAAAAAAGGTCGAACAATTCTTTGATAAGGTTTAACAGTTACCGACTGGTTGAATTGGATTTCATATTAGACCCTTTGACTTTTTAAATGGTGAACGAAGTGCTCGAAAACTTGAAGGTTGTCATTTTCTAAAGAGCTTTAAAATGGTTTGGAATTGATAAATACATAGTTCCATAAAAGTAAACGTAGTGTATCGTCAATTTAGTAAAGTGAAACTAATCAAATTTGTAAAATTTATCGAGAAAATTTGTATTCAGAAGATGTATTAATCAGTGCGCAAGATACTTGCGGACCTGTATATTTATGGACGCCTTACATTAGAAAAATCATTGTGTCTAAAACTCTGAAATATTCGAAAAGGTTTAAGCTTACTACGTTTTTCTACGTCAATGGATGGAGAGATCCATGTTCTGTAATATAAAACTGAAATATAATATCAAATGACCAAACAAAAAGTGATAAATTACTAATTTCATCATCTATTCTGGGGAATGATAAATTCTGGGGAATGATAAATTCTGGGGAATGCTTTTTTGGGGAATGGTACATTCTGGGGAATGTTATAGAATCAATGATAGTTTTTTATTGGAATTTAGAAACACTTAATTTACTGTTTGCTGTTCACAATCTGAAGCCTTCCTGCTCTTACAACTGAACCGTCTCGTTGAATCGCATTCACAAAAAACGAAGCCATCTTGTCATTAAATCGTCGTTAAACACTCAAACACACATAAAAATAAAGCTGCCCAATTTTTTTTTTTTTTAATTTTCATTACGAAAATCGAATGGCTATTAAGTAGCTTCCGTTATATTTTATTTCGAAGATGCAGAATAATAATAATTCTAACTTTATTTTAAAAATGTAATATAATTTTTTTGTGGCAGCAACTTGCTTAAACTCTACACTGGAACCCTTTTATTGATAAATTTTGCTTCGATGAGCCTCTATTTTAAATCAACACACAGACGTTCCTATGCTATGGTGCCCGTTTGGTCACTGTTGTTTTTGTGTTGATCCAAATAATTTTGATAATATAATTGCGCATCCTTGTTTTTTTTTAAAGGTTGATTTTTGTCCCAGTCTTGTCTTCTGTCGTCACTTATTTTGTCATTTTGTCTTGTGTATTAACCCCCACTTGTTTTGTTTATTGTGTCAACTTGTGTCTATTGTTTTTAAACTCGTTCTGTTACTCTGTCATGACTAATTTCATTGATATATAAAAATAGTAATATCTATTACAGGATAATAAGGTTATTTCTCGATTACTTTTTCAAAGGGAAGCACCAGCTCCTGCAAACAATGCATCCGATCGTCGATCCGGCGCAACCGGCAGCTCGCACACGCTTATCAACACCACCAGCAGGTAGAGGAAAATTTCCCCTATCTGATGATAGTGCCAGCACGCGCGGGCGAGCCACCAGCTACGCCAAATCGACGACCAAACGCACCGCCTACAAAAGCCGATACGCTACCTTGAAAAAGTTATCGAGATTTCTACTAATTAATGAATTATTGACAATTACCTCTCATGATCCTTGGCTCCACTATGATTTTAACTTACCACTTTTTGATTATTTATCAAATACCTCTCCGAGTATATAACGCCCCGATGCCTTGTTGGTTTCTGGTCTCATTTGGATTGGTCCTGAATTTGTTTGATATCCTGTTCGAAGTAATTCTTTGAGCTCCAGCTTGTACGTGTCTCACGTCATATGATTCGCCATTCATAAAGATAATGGGTTAAAAGGGAGTATAACATACATAAAGGTAGATTAGTATTACTTGTACTTGATCCAAACAATAGAAAGATCATTTTAGTGTTAGTAGTTATGTTAGTTTTGATCCGTATTCAGCCATGCCGGCCCCTCCAGCACTATTTGCAGCAATTGTGATAAGATTATGCGACACTGCTACTACTACTATGTTAGATGTATGACGCAATGTCTTTCAATAAATCACTCAATCAATTTGATGTTTGAAAATTTGCTCAAAAGGGTTTTGTTGACACATCATACATTACCGAAAACTAAAGCACAACAATCCTAATTCTTATTTCAAACCTATCAACATATTTAACACATCTTTCCTAAAACTTCACTTGTTCGTAAGCGCCTGGTTGAAGATATGACTTTCGCTATTGACATTGTCTGTAATTAACAAATACACTAAATAGGAAGATTTATTATACAACTTCATAGGCTAGTCGCCTCCCTAAGCGGACCCCCCGCGTCCTATCTCTTATGTTAATTAAATTTCTGAATTCTCTAATTGAAGTTTATTTAATAAATAACTGAAATCTCTAATCAATCTACACAATCATAACCCATGCTTTTAAACTAAGATTTAACGTGTTTCAAGTACTTCTGGCTTTGACATATATTAATTATATCTTTGTTCGTCCCAGGTAAAAAAAACTGGAATAACCCATCAGCAAGAAACCATTTTACTTTTGTTCTGTATGTTAAACATAGTGTTGGAAGTAGTGCGCAGTAATCACACAATAATGCGCTATGCGTAGGGAAAAGTTCGCGAATCATATAGCGAATTCGTTTATTATCGGGGTTGGAACCAGTTCCAACCCAGTGCGAAACCGAACTTTTTGTCAGTGCGAACCTCAACCTGAGCTGGGTTTTAAAAACAAACGATCAAACTGACGTTTGTCAGAAAACAAGCAGACCAAATCTTGATACCCGATCCAGGTTGGAACTGAATAATAAACGAATTCGCTAATAGTGAACTCTTGCTTCACTGATTTACATGAATCAATTTTAAAAATGCTCTTATATGTACCTAGACATAATAATTATATTAGCAAATTAAGTGCTTCTAAATTCCAATAAAAAATTATAATTTGTATTCAGTATAAATTCCAAAACGAAATTTCCTTCTAAAAAATGTACCCTTCTTTTGATCCCTTGCTGTTCTTCCATTTGTCTTAATTTCGGGGTAATGACCATTCGGGTAGTAGGACATTCGGGGTAATGGCCATTCGGGGTAGTAGGACATTCGGGGTAGTGTCACAGAATCGTTCCAGGTATCCCCGGAGAAGTGGTTAATCCTATTTAAATCAAAATCCTTCAAGCGATACATCAAATCACATGAGAATTCAAAGCCAAATCCATTGGCGGTCAAACTGAGTATCGTAAGAACTACATTGGCCACAACCGGACATGTTCCAGATACCCTAGGGGAAGTGGACAAAATCTGTCTAGAGACAAATCTCATGATGCGATGAGTTGTCTAACATTTCTAACATATTTTTTTTAATGGGACTGACTTGCGGTTACTTTTCGCTGTGGGACAATTTGACTTGGTATTTTTTATTTTTCTTGAACAAACCACCTTTTTTCAACAGCACATCTAAAAAAACATAGAAAGATAAACTGAATAATGATGCTAACTCAAAATTGATAAAAATGCAGATGGGACTGACTTGCGATTACCGGCAGTATACGACTTGATCAAGTACAACACCTGATTGTATTCAATTTACCATTGTATGAAGGGCCAAAAACGGAGGGCCAACCTTATAAGCAGACACTTCCCGAGCAAAGTCGGATATCAAAATACTATTCAAATGACATCTTATTTTGTTTTTGAAATCATGTTGACAACATATTTTGATAAACTTTTTTTTTAATTTCGATTGAATTCATATTTTGATATCATTTTGATATTTAAAAAAAATTAATGAAAAACAAAATTTGATATTTTATTAACAAAAATGTGGATGCTTTTTTGTTAATAAAATATCAAATTTTGTTTTTCATTATATTTTTTAAAAATATCAAAATGATATCAAAATATGAATTCAATCGAAATTAAAAAAAGTTTATCAAAATATGTTATCCCTAAAATCTACATTTATTTAGTCTTCGTTAGTGTTTGGTACATATCCCGCATAAACATAAGAAACGCCTAACCATCAATTCAGGATATCATCCCAACTTTATGCAGTATGGTCGTACCATCTATGATATCGTTTGTGTATGGTATCCGTAGGGGGTAGTGACAAAAAAAGTTGTAACGAAAACCGGTTGGATGCTTGGGTATTTTTCACCTATTCCATTCGATTGATCGTTAGGTACTCAATGGATTTTTCATCAGGATTACTCAAAATCGAGTTTTCTTCTTTAACTTATATTTGGCTAGCCTCACTGAAGCCACGTGTTGAGTGAAAGGAACTTAATTTTGGGTTCTTTTTTCTTACCGTGAATGAAATTTTGACATCCGTAGAAAAAATATTAATACACTGGAGTCGCTTTTTACGCGGTTAGTGCCGCTGAGTCGCAATTTACGCGGTACGTTTTTAACGATTTCTCGACAACGATACGACCTATCGTCTTGATTCCAATCACTATACTGCCCATAATTGCATATCAGTCCCATATGGATAGGAAATCAAGCAAAGATGGGACTGATATGCGATTATGGGTAGTATAGGTAATCGAATAGCATACTTTTAAAAAAATCACAATTTTTGGTGTAAATACAGAAATTTTTAAAATATGTCTATATGGAACATATCATGCTATATTAACGAATGGCATCAAAATCCGATTTATAAAAAATATTTAAGCATGTGAAAAATCCAAATCTTGGTAGTTTTTTTTACGCGGCACATATCCCCCGCGTAAAATGCGACTCCAGTGTATATAATTTAATTCGAAAAGAACGAGGTTTGTTTCATAGCTACAATAATAATTCTACACGGAAACAAGTTTTCATGTAGTTTCTATTGGGAATGCACATAATATTTTTCCATTAACAAAACCAATGATATCTATCTGATTTCACATAACATTCATGTGATCACATGATTTCTATATGATAAATCACTTAAATTGCATTTGACACATAAGGTTCATGTGATTTTGTGGTGCAATTCCCAAATATGATATCACATGAAAGTTATGTGAAATTCTAATGAATATTTTCCATTGGATATGTGATTTATTCTATGAGTGTAGCTAGAGCTGGAATTAGGTAAAGCCCTACAGTAAAAGTATGGACGACTGTCACCACAAAACTGAACAAAGCTGTTCCAATCGACCAAAGCGGTGCATTTTGACGGTTCGATTGGAACAACTTTTGACAAACGTCCATACTTTTACTGTAGGGCTTTAGAATTTGGCGTAACAGCTTTTGTAAACTATCACTTCTCTCGATGATTTCTCGCCTAACTTTTCAAAAGGTCCTATCTAACATTTCACTCTTTTCGAGAAAAACGAGGTTGAAGATTGACAAAATCTTTTTTGATACTATTTTAAACCAAATCAACTTTTGACATTTTTAAGACCTTTAATAGTAAAATGCGATAGTAAAATTGAAATTGAAATTATAATCTACCCGTTTCATACATTTTTTTCTATGAAAACGTGAAAAATGTTACATAGGACATTTTGCTCTTGTCAGGTGTACATTGGACATGTTATATAGGACGTTTTGTTATAATCACAGTTACATAGGTCATTTATGTTTTCAACATTATTTGTTTGTTTTTAAGCATTATGAGTGCATAATTTAAGTTATACGAGCTAAACGAACAATATGAGTATTGGACAATGCATCAACTTTTTTTTAACGGTATATCGCAACACTGCCCACAGATTGTTTTGGTCGATCGTTGGTGGTAGCGTGAGCTGCTTTTTATTTGATAACAGTGTTTTTTTTAGGGGCTGTTCACTAACTACGTAGACAGCTTTTCGGTATGCTTAACCCCCCTCCCCATGCGTAGACAATTGTCCATATACATGTTCCGTCTCCGCCGAAAGTGAACCAACCATCTTGACAATCGCCGCTGACGAACAGCGACAAACAACACTAACCAATCAGCGACGTCCATATCACCATGCGCAGACAGCGCGCTCCTATAAAAGTGGCACCCATTAGGCAAACTGACATTCAGTTTCCTTTTGACCGGCCACGAGCAAGCATCAGCAACAGAAGGAAGCAAACCTTTGTAGAGAGAAAGAGTAGAGAAATAAAGTAGTTACTAGCGTAGCCGTTCGCCCTTTAAATAATTACCAAGCACACATCCCTGGTTCGGAGCAAGCGTTGAAACCCATCCCCAGCTCTTTTCAGAGCTCAAAGAGATTGATTTAGATCGACGCTTGCCTCCTCCACCAATCATTGCCGATACAGTCCACTGCCGAAAGGGAAAGTGCCTTTCCAGACCGAACATCAATTTGGTCCATCACGAACCGGATACCGAACCGTTTGAAGAAGCTTTCGCCCGAAAGTTTGCCCAGTCCTACCAAAAGGATCGAACTGCCTGCCGCCTTCCGAGTGGGGAAAACGGACGAGCTACGCTAGCAAACAGTGCCAAAACAAAACTGCTTCCGCTGTTGCCGATGCCCGTCGTGCGCGAAGCATAGCAAGTGAATCGAGTTCGTGTGCGCGTTCGCGACAAGTTAAAGACAAAGTGATTTCGTAAAAATACGAAAATGCCTATTACGCGTTCGTCGACACGCGATGGTGTGCAAGATGCTGGTGCGACTCGCGATGGCGTGCAAGATGCTGGTGTCGAACAGCAACAAGGAAATCCGTCACCATCGGATGGATCTGGATCGTTCCATGGATTCGACGAATGGGAAGCCGACTGGGATGAAGCTACAGCAAAGAAATATCGTGGATTGGTTCGCCAGCGCTCCCAAGCGAAAATGAAGTTGGTGCGGATTAATCGGACGTTGATCAATGAGACGCTTGGATTGGCACAACTTGGTGTGCTATCCAAGAACCTGGCTGTTACCTACGCTGAGTACAGCCAATTCCACAGCAAGGTAATAGCCCTGGTACCCGATGAAGCGCTCGATGGACAGGATGACGAATACGCAAGCTTCGAGAAACTGTACTACGACGTATCCAATGCTGTGGAAGAGTTACTGCTAGAGGCAAAAGCTCGAGCCACTTCAAAGGTTCCTCCAGCCATTCCAGCAGCACCTCACGTGATTATCCAGCAGCAACCGTTAAAAGCACCAATCCCAACGTTCGATGGGAGTTACGACGCATGGCCCAAGTTCAAGGCCATCTTCCAGGACCTGATGGCCAACTCGGGGGATACAAATGCCATAAAATTGTATCACCTCGATAAAGCTCTTATCGGAGATGCTACTGGAGTTCTGGACGCTAAGCTCCTAAGCGAGGGTAACTACGAGCAAGCTTGGACCATTTTAACGGACCGATACGAGAACAAGCGAGTCATAGTGGAAACTCACATCCGTGGGTTGTTGTTCCTCAAGAAGATGACGTCGGAGTCTCATAAGGAACTGCGAACACTGCTGAACGAAGCCACTCACCACGTCGAAAGTTTGCGCTACCTTCAGCAACAAATCACCGGAGTTTCAGAACACATCATTGTGTATCTGATAATTTCAGCACTTGATAAATCGACCCGTAAGTCCTGGGAAGGGGCCCAGAAGAAAGGAGATCTGCCGAAGTATTCCCAAGTCATCGAGTTCCTGAAATCCAGATGCCAGATACTGGAAAACTGCGAAGCAGCGTTCCAGTCAGTGCCGCCAACAATCAAGCCAAAACAAGCCCAGCTACCTTCAAGAGTTCAGCCGCAGAAGAGCCACGCAGTTTCCACCAATGCGTCCCAAGCATGTGAGATTTGTGGTGGTGATCATCGGAACTTCCAGTGCACTGCCCTGAACAACCTAACCGCTTCCCAGAAGAACGAAAAGATCCGAGCAGCAGGAGTCTGCTTTAACTGCCTGCGCAAAGGACACCGTTCCAAGAACTGCCCTTCAATCAAGACGTGCCACAAGTGTCAGCGCCGACACCACACGTTGCTCCATGAAGATGGGGCACCCTCCCAGGAGAAAATGTCAAACATTTCTCTTCCCGCGGAATCTATGGCAATCCCGCCACCGGTTCCGGCTGCTCCGAGTCAACCGTCGACGTCGGTGCAGAAGATTCTTGCCCCCGTGGAACATCCTGTGTCCACCACCTGTTCGTCAAACTTCACCCAGTCGACCAAGACGGTACTGCTGCTTACCGCAGTGGTGCAGGTGTTTGATAAGAACAGTCATTCCCATCCATGCAGCGTCCTGTTGGACAGCGGCTCCCAGGTGAATTTCGTGACCGAAGACATGGCCAATCGCCTGGGTCTGCCGAAGAAGCCAGCCAACGTTTCGATCACCGGTATCAACGCGTTGCGCACCCTCGCTCGTGACAAGGTGACGCTGAAATTCAAGTCCCGAGTATCCAACTTCCAAGCCAGCCTCGAGTGCCTAGTGACGCCGAAAGTAACGGGCACAATTCCATCGTCGAAGATCAACATCAACAATTGGGACATCCCTGCTGGAGTGGTTCTTGCCGATCCAGAGTTCCACACGCCCGATAAGGTGGACCTGTTGATCGGCGCAGAGCTGTTTTTTGATATACTGAAGCCAAGCCAACTCAACCTGGCGGACAACCTGCCACAGTTGCGAGACACTCACCTTGGGTGGATCGTATCTGGTGTCATCGTCGAGCCACAGATTTCCAACGTATCAGTTCAGCATGCCAGCCACGTTTCTCTTGAAGACATCGAGCGAAAGATGTACAAGTTCTGGCAAATCGAGGAAGTGCCGGACGTACCCAAGTTATCAACCGAGGAGATGGCATGCGAAGCACACTTTCTGTCCACATACCAGCGTGACGAGTCCGGAAGATTTATCGTGAGCTTGCCGTTCAACGAAAATTCTTCGCAGCTGGACGATTGCCGTGCTTTAGCTCTGAAGAGGTTCCTGATGCTGGAGAAACGACTGATGAACAATCCCGAACTACAAGCGCAGTACGTAGAATTCGTTCGAGAGTACGAGGTTCTCGAACATTGCCGTGAAATCAATGAAGCTGATGATCCTCCCAACCAGCAGAGGTATTATCTTCCACATCACATCGAGCACAAAATGTCGTGTCGTGTTCGATGCAAGTGCCAAGTCGTCATCCGAAAAGCTGTCTTTAAACCAAGTCCTGCAAGTCGGTCCTGTGGTGCAGAATGATCTGCATTTCATCGTCCTACGCTTCAGAAAGTTCAAGATCGCCTTTTCTGGAGACGTTGCCAAGATGTACCGGCAGGTACTGCAAGCACTACAAGATCGACGTTTCCTCAGAATCTTCTGGAGACCACACCCGTCGCAGAAGCTACGGGTTCTGGAACTGTGTACTGTTACCTACGGTACAGCATCCGCTCCATACCTCGCAACAAGGTGCCTGGTACAGCTCGTCGAGGAAGAAGGTGAGTTTTTTCCTATCGCCTCTCGCATTGTAAAGGAGGAGACGTACATGGACGATGTACTGTCCGGCGCAGACTCGGTGGAAGATGCAATCGAAGCTCAACAACTATTGAAGCAGCTCCTAGGACGTGGTGGTTTTCCGATACATAAATGGTGCTCGAACTCCAAAGAATTTCTCGAGCGCATTCCCGTGGAAGACCAGGAAAAAAGGGTACCGTTAGAAGAACGTGATGTAAACGAAGCTATCAAGGTCCTTGGCTTGCTCTGGGATCCGAATGCCGATACGCTGTACATTGCAAACCATCCGAAGCTACCGCCGCCATTACAACAACGTGTTACGAAGAGGGTAATGTATTCGGAGATAGCCAAATTCTTCGACCCTCTTGGGCTGGTCTCTCCAGTCATCGTATTGGCAAAACTAATGGCTCAACGGTTGTGGCAGCTCAAGGTCGGATGGGACGATCCGATTGATGAAGACACGGCGCAAAAGTGGCAAGAACTTCAAGCTTCGTTGTCGCATTTGCACAACATCGCCATCCCAAGATGCGTGACATTCCAAGGAGTCGTCGCGTTCGAATTGCACGGGTTCTCCGATGCCTCAACAGTGGCGTACGGGGCCTGCATCTACCTACGAAGCCTGTTCAACGATGGTTCAGCGAAGCTCCGCCTACTGACAAGCAAATCCAAGTTGGCCCCTCTTCACGATCTTTCCATCCCACGAAAAGAACTTTGTGCCGCTCTCCTGCTGACACGATTAGTTCTGAAGGTATTACCTGCCCTGGATATGGAGTTCCGGGAAATTGTACTTTGGTGTGACAGTACGACTGTCCTAGCCTGGATCAAGAAACCGCTCAACCAACTCCTATTATTCGTCCGAAACCGAATCGCTGTAATTCAAGAACACACTGGTGGATTCCGGTGGGAGTACGTTAGATCGCTGCAGAACCCTGCCGACATCGTCTCGCGCGGCCAACTACCTGGAGCCTTGGAGAACAACAACCTTTGGTGGAATGGCCCTGAGTTCCTCCAGAGAGTGAAATACGACATCGATCCACCCGAAGAAGTACCAGATCCGTTGCTGTCAGAGCTGAAACCAGTCATCGTCACCGCAGCTGTGAGTATGGAACCTTTCCCATTTTTCTCCAGATACAGCAGCTTCCGCAAAATCCAACGTGTAATGGGCTACGTCTTGCGATTCGTTGGTAACTGCCGTATGAAGAACCTTGCCGAGCGGAAGACAAACCATCACCTGATGATACCGGAACTGCGACAGGCAACTGAAGCTATAATCCACGTGGTTCAGTTCGTTTATTTGGCGGACGAGATTCAACGAGTTGTTGCCCACGAACCCTGCAAGAAGTTGGCAAACCTGCGTCCTATCTATACCGATGGTCTACTTCGTGTGGGCGGTCGAATCGATCGCTCACAACTACCGTTTGAGAGCCGTCATCCCATCATCTTACCAGACAAGGACCCGGTGGTACGCCTTTTGATTCGACAGATGCACGTCGAACAGCTTCACGTCGGGCAGTCTGGCCTGATGAACGCCATGAGACAACGATATTGGCTTCTGAACGCTCGCTCCACCATCCGGCAAATTACACGTAAGTGTGTGAGATGCTTCCGGATTAATCCAACCAATACCAGCCAACTGATGGGAAACCTGCCAGCATCGAGAGTGGTACCATCGCCCCCATTTGCCGTGACCGGAGTGGACTACGCCGGGCCTTTCCTGATTAAGCAAGGTGTGCGCCGTCCTGCTCTAGTGAAATCATATGCGGCCGTCTTTGTTTGTATGACCACCAAGGCCGTCCACCTAGAAGCGGTTTCCGACTTAAGCACCGATGCTTTCTGGCGTCCCTGAAGCGATTCCTTGGACGACGAGGAATGATCCAACAGCTGCACTCGGATAATGCAACCAACTTCCGAGGTGCCAACAATGAACTGAACGCCTTGTTCCAACAGTTCCGGGATCAGCAAGCCGTTAACACCATCGAGAAATTCTGCCGCAACCGTGAGATCGAGTGGCACTTCATCCCACCGGACGCACCCGAATTCGGTGGCCTTTGGGAGGCCGCAGTCAAGTCTGCCAAGAGCCATCTAAAGCGTATTGTCGGCAACGTAAAGCTCACGTTCGAGGAGCTATCCACCGTTCTGGTAGAAATCGAAGCTGTGCTAAATTCTCGACCACTTTTCACCATCTCCAACGACCCGGCAGACCCACTGGTGATCACGCCAGCCCACTATCTGATTGGACGCCCTCTCACTGCCATACCCGAGCCATCCTTGGAAGACGTCAAGGCAGCACGTCTAACTAGATGGCAACACCTGCAACTTATGCGCGAACATTTCTGGCGCGCTTGGAGTCGCGACTATCTGAACACCCTACAACCCAGAAAGAAGAATCTTCGAACTACGCCGAACATCCGTGAAAACATGGTTGTTCTGCTCCACGATCGAAACCAACCCCCACTCAACTGGAAGTTGGGTCGCATCATAGCCGTATATCCAGGCGATGACGGTTTGGTCCGAACTGTCGATATCGTTGCAGGGGGTTCCAGCTACAGACACCCTATCAACAAGATATCGGTACTGCCTATCGAAGATAACGTACAACCTCCTGGTAATTGTTGAGTTACCTCAACCGGGGGGAGTATGTTCCGTCTCCGCCGAAAGTGAACCAACCATCTTGACAATCGCCGCTGACGAACAGCGACAAACAACACTAACCAATCAGCGACGTCCATATCACCATGCGCAGACAGCGCGCTCCTATAAAAGTGGCACCCATTAGGCAAACTGACATTCACTGGAGATCATTAGCTGCTTGAACGTCAAGCAGTACAGTTCGGTCTTTGCTCGCTCTGTCGAGTTGTTCGATTAACCTATAGTTTGTTACAAACGTTCGCAGATATACTGCACGTCGCGTCGTCAGTAGTGTCGGTCGCATAGCGTGATGGGAAGACAGCGCTCTCGGAGCCGACTTCGTGAACAAGCGGAGAAGAAGAACAGTGGTGAGGGTAGCTCGGTACCTACCTCGAATAGGTACGCTACTCTGCCCACCGATGTTGGAAATACCAACCCAGTCCCGGTGAAGCGGACGAAAAAGAGGAAGAAGAACCAAGGTCAGTCCGATGGTACGAGCGGACGCGACGAACGCCAGCGACATCGGTGATTTCGGCGACGCCGTCGAAACCGAGAATTCTGCCGGCCCGAGTGCGGCGAAAATCAAGCTTCCTCCACTGGTGGTGAAGGTAGTGCCACTCAAGACGCTCATTGGCGATTTCGCATCGCTGGGCATCGCAGCTGAGTACAAGATCAGCAGGATCGGCACTAAGGTGATGCTCCGGACGAAAGCGGAATACGAAATCGCAGTCAAATTCCTGAAGGATTCCAATGCGGAATACTTCACGCACGACATCCCCGGTGAAAAGCCCTTCAAGGTAGTCATCAGGGGTCTACCGGATGTTGATCCCAAGGCGATCGAAGAAGAACTCAAGGACCGGTACAAGCTGGCCCCAATCGCTGTCTTTCGGATGACGAGGCGAGACGAAAACGTGAAGACGTACCCGGATTGTCTTTTACTGGTGCACTTCCAGAAGGGAACGGTGACGCTGAATGCGCTGCAGGCTATCCGCTCAATCTACTCCATAATCGTACGATGGGAGCCATACCGTGGAGGCCATCGCGATGTGACCCAGTGCCAACGATGTCTGAACTTTCGACACGGCACTCGCAACTGCAACATCAAGCCACGTTGTAGCAACTGCGCTCAAGAACACGCCACTTCCAACTGCCCTGCGGATGGAGCCGTGGCGTTAAAATGCGCCAACTGTGGTGGTGCTCATCAAGGTTCCGACAGACAGTGCTCCAAACGCGAGGACTTCAAACGCATCCGAAAACAGGCGGCAACTAACAACCAACCAGGACGCAAGAAGGACAAAGTCCCGGCATTTCGGACGGAGGATTTCCCGCCCCTTCGTGCTCCTCAGCAAAGGCAAGTGAATTCGCGGGTGCATTCCGCTCAAGCAACTTCCGGTGATTCTGCTGGCCAAAGCTCTCCATCCCCCCCTGGATTCTGGAGACAACCAACAGCGCAAAACAACAACCCCGATCTGTTCTCAGCGGATGAACTGATGGAAATCTTCGTCAACATGTCCGGTGCTCTTCGTAAGTGCCGCAATAAGCCCGAACAGATCCAAGTGCTCGGTAAGTTCATCATCCAGTATGGCGTCTAAACCGCTAAGTATCGTCACCTGGAATGCTTGCTCTGTAAGAGCAAAAGAGATTGAGCTTGCCGACTTCCTCCGCAAGCACAGCATCGACGTGGGCCTTCTAACCGAGACCCATCTAAAGTCCGGTGACAGCTTCTGGTTGCCTGACCACAACATTATCCGGCTTGATCGCACCAGCTCCAGGGGGGGTGGTGTTGCGGTCGTCGTCAAGAAAGGAATAAAATACCACACTCTGTCCCATATCCGCACAACTATCATCGAGGCCCTTGGTGTGGAGGTAGAGTCGTCGACTGGATACGTCCAGTTCATCGCCGTCTACTGCCCTCGACAGTGTGCCGCCAGCAGTGGACTAGCGGCTAAATTCAAGAAGGACCTGTCCACCATCACCCGTACCGGTTCCCGCTTCGTAGTTGGAGGAGATCTGAATGCTCGCCATGAGGCCTGGCGGAACTACCAGCAGAACCAGAACGGTCGTCTCCTGTTCGACCACTCACAGCATGGGCTGTACTCCGTTTGGTTTTCGGATGAGCCAACATTTATCTCACCGGCGGGCAACCCATCGACGCTAGACCTGTTCCTGACAAATATCGGCTTGTCCAAGCCGGTAGCCTTGAACGAACTCAGTTCCGACCACCAACCGGTGGTGTCTGAGCTGGGCTGCAACGTGGCTCCTGCTTCAAGCCTGCGCAAGGACTATCATCGCGTAAACTGGGCCCAGTTTGGACGCGTGGTAGACAGGCACATCATCGACAACCCGCCGCTTGACACCGTGGAGGACATCGACCGAGCGTTGGAGGGACTCCACCAAGCCATAACCGTGGCTGACGAGGCGTGCATCCGACGAGTTCCTGTGAGGGGTAAGTTTATTGCTATTGATTCCCACACCCAACTCTTAATTCGCCTGAGAAATGTTCGTAGACGCCAGTTTCAGAGGACTGGAGATCAAGCGATGAAACGTGAAATGGCCGATCTAAACAAGGAGATTGCTTCCAGAATGGTCTCACTCCGGAACGAAAGTTTCGGGCGGCTTGTCCAGAATCTGGACGACCGCTCCAGACCATTCTGGAAAGTTGCCAAGGTCTTAAAGACGCACCCTAAACCCATTCCGCCACTAAAAGATGAAAATGATGACGATCGGCTCATAATCACCCCTCAGGAGAAAGCAAATGCGATTGGTGAGCATATTGTCAAATCGCACTTGCTTGGCTCCAACATCCAAAGTCCGCTCGAAGTTCAGGTTGAGCAATGCGTACTCAACTTTGATTCCTCCCCTTGTGCCATCCCTCCGGAGGATAGAATCACAGTTGAACAGATTTGCTCAGCGCTGAAATGCACCAAAAACATGAAGGCCCCCGGGTTTGACGGAATATTCAACCTAGTGTTGAAAAATCTCAGCATGAAGGTTCACTCTCTGCTGGCTGCTGTCTTCAACAGATGCTTGGAACTGCACTACTTTCCAAGCATCTGGAAGACAGCGAAAATCATACCTATCCGCAAACCCGGGAAGGACCCAACGCTAGCTTCAAGCTACAGACCAATCAGCCTCCTTTCAGCGCTGAGCAAATTGTTCGAGAAACTCATTCTCAATCGTTTGCTCAAGTTTGTCGAGGAAAATAACATTCTCCTTCCGGAACAGTTTGGGTTCAGAAAGGGGCACTCCACCAATCACCAGCTAGTGCGGGTGATGAATAACATCCGAAGTAACAAAGCTGTATCCAAGTCCACAGCCATGGCATTGCTAGACGTTGAGAAAGCGTTTGATAATGTCTGGCACAATGGGCTTGTATACAAGCTCTGTTACTTCAACTTTCCATTACATCTGGTTAAAATCACCCGTAGCTACCTCCAGCAAAGGTCGTTTAAGGTATCGTTGAATGGTTGTCTTTCAGACACGTTTTCCATCCCTGCAGGAGTCCCGCAAGGCAGTCTGCTGGGTCCCTTGCTCTACAGCATTTATACTTCCGACATTCCTCCCCTTGGAGACGGTTGTGTGTTCTTCCTGTTCGCAGATGATACCGCAATAGCTGTCAAAGGAAGGATGCCTCGCGAAATAACGAACAAACTTCAACGATGCTTTAACGCCTTTGCTGATTATGCCACCACGTGGAAAATCAAAATCAATGCTTCCAAAACACAAACAATCATGTTCCTCCATCGACAATCACCCAAACTAAAACCGGCTCCCTCTTGTACTGTAATCATGGATGGCACAAGGGTTGAGTGGTCCGCCGAAGTAACCTATCTCGGGATGTTGTTTGACGAAAAGCTTCTATTCCGCTCGCATGTGGAGAAAACCGTAGTCAAGTGTTCCGCCTTGGTTAGGTGTCTGTATCCGCTGATTTGCCGCAGATCCCGCCTCTCAAGGGTGAACAAACTGGCCGTCTACAAACAAATCATAGCACCTGCGATCCTCTACGCAGCTCCGGTGTGGGAATCATGTGCACAGACTCACAGGAACAAAATTCAGGTAGCTCAGAATAGAGTGCTGAGGATGGTTCTTGATCGTCCTTTCGACACTAGAATAACAAATTTACATGAAGAGGCAGGCATTGCCAAAATAGATTCCAAAATTAACGAAATTAAGACTAAATTTGCACAAAAATGTAATTTATCAGAACATGATTTGATAAGCAATTTGTATATAGTAGGTTAGGTGTACATAGTAGTTGTAGGTTAGTTGTAGTTGTAAATAGTAGTTATAAGTAGTCTCCTTTTCCCAATTCAAATCAAACCAATCCCACCAAGGTGGTCATACTTTAAAATAGGCCTGATAGGACTAGGAACTGTAAATAATAATTAAAATCTCAAATGTACTAAAGTTGAAAAGACGCATCTGTGTCACTTAAAAAATTCATACATGTAAACCACACAATCACAAGAAATAAAGATCATTTAAATGGCAAAAATGGCAAACTGACATTCAGTTTCCTTTTGACCGGCCACGAGCAAGCATCAGCAACAGAAGGAAGCAAACCTTTGTAGAGAGAAAGAGTAGAGAAATAAAGTAGTTACTAGCGTAGCCGTTCGCCGTTTAAATAATTACCAAGCACACATCCCTGGTTCGGAGCAAGCGTTGAAACCCACCCCCAGCTCTTTTCAGAGCTCAAAGAGATTGATTTAGATCGACGCTTGCCTCCTCCACCAATCATTGCCGATACAGTCCACTGCCGAAAGGGAAAGTGCCTTCCCAGACCGAACATACAAATTTTAAAATTTGTATGGGCCGTGGATAATTGTCAACCCAAACCCAACCCCCCCCCCCCCCCCACGTGGAAATAGTAAAAAAATGCTTGACATGAAAATTCCGATGTGCACAATCATATTGTTTTGGTTTGTTTGAACATTTTAGACGTTTTACTCGTATAAACACAAAGGACCGAAGTACAGATCTGCACTGTTTTGGTTTTTCTGATACTTCAGACGTTTGTCTTGATGAACATAGTCAAACGTCTTATGTAACAGTGAAACATCGTTAATGCAAATTTTGATTTCAGACGTTTTGTTAATTTAGAATTTTCTCAATTCAATTGACATTAATCTGAATGTCTGTGTGTGCATAATGTTCTTAGATACAATTGTTACAATGTGCATTTATAAACTCGATTTGTTTACATTTGTTACTTAGGACCTTTTGAAAAGTTAGGCGAGATTTCTAGAAAGCCAAGGCTCGCCCACTCCAATCAACTTCACCATCGGGCAGGGGAAGACGTCTCCTTCCCGTTGGTTAGTGTGGGCGTGCCTTGAGTTTCGAGAAATCATCGAGAGAAAGTTATTGTTTACAAAAGCTGTTACGCCCTAATTCCAGCTCTATCAAGAATGTTTGTAGGGTGGGAAATCCACCTCCACATCAAAATCAATTTAGTCCTGATAAAGGGTAACAACCAGCATTTTTGAGTAAATAAATTACTATTTCTTTCGAACTTACGATTGCGGCTTCCACTGTTTGCGTTGAAATTCATTTTTAACAGAATTAGCGCGCACTAAAAACAAAGATTCGGCACTATTAATGAATCTATTACGGAATCCACATCACCATAAATCAAGCTGGATAATGCATTAGGTCCTAACTAACACGCTAAAAAAAGGTCCATTGATCTTTAAAGTTTAACCTGTTTCGAGAAAACCCCCACATATTCATAGACTGTACCAAAACATCATCCTCTGTCGGAATGAATCCTCAGACCATTCCTCGGACCATTCAAATCGATACATCGTAAACGCTTTTTCGAATGATAGCTGCAACCGGATGACGGTTGTTTTGTAATCAGATGATGCTATTCTCGAATAGAGTTTTTTGACGTTTAATCGGCGCACACTACTGCACCATTTAAATCGAACGAGTGCGAGCAAGAGGGAAACAGATTAGTGGGAAAACAAACCGTTCATTCATTCATGTGCGTTAGATACACTAGTAAAAATCCACACATAACTAATAGACAATTTGTATAAAATATTAAGCATAATATTCATTTGGCCACACATAATTAGATATCATGGAACAAAACACATACAGATTATGTGTCATATAAACAGTATGTGTGATTACATATAGAGGTGATATGTGCAAGTGAGATTTATGTGTCTGGCATATAGAAACTATATCATAAATCTAATTGCAAAAATCTATGTGTGGAACACATAGAAACAATCATTGACTTTTTCTCAGTGAAGAGAAAGACGATTATGGTGGTAAGCTCCAACCGGTATTATCCTCGGATTAAATCCCGATCAAGAATGTCCGGCTGGTTTGATGTCGACATCAGAGTTAATCAACATAATTCTGAGCAAACATTTTTCAGATCATACAAACAGGGACGGTATTAAAAGTTAATCCGAGTTGGAGCTTACCGCCATTAAACGTCAAAAAGATCTATACACGATGAACATTGATACGAGAAGCGAACGGACCTTAGTATAAATCAGGCCAGTGACAACCCGCATAAACAATAACCATTAGAGGAGCCTAACCACCAATTCGGGATATCATCTCAACTTTATGTGGTATGGTCGTACCATCTATGAAATTGTTAGTGTATAGTACCCGTTTATTAGGGAAGGCCTATACCAACAGCAGCATTTGACAGTACGCAGCATGTCCCGGGCTCAAATCGTTTATTTTGCTGTTTTGGGCCCGCTGTCACGGTATAACATGTTGCCTACGCGCCTGCCACTGCGCTGGTATAAATCAAGATCAAATTCTCATTACACGGTAACCAGCGTAAGCACATAAATGAGTAAAAAATACACATTTTTTTATATTTATATGCAGCTGTCAAAAAATGTGTAAATTTGGAGATCCTAAATTGTGTAAAAAATACACATTTTAAGACTGTAGTACCAGTCAAAAAATGTCTATTTTTATACTCATTAATGGGTTAAAAAAAAATTTCAAACTTTGCTCCATCCTGCTTTGTTGACGCACGCCATTTGCTAAATTTTCAGTGAAGAACAGCAGGAAAATAAAGGAACTACGGTCCAAACTGGACAGCGCGCAACGATGGACATGCTAGAGGGTAGACGATTTAATTTTTTTTTTCATAGCTTTTAGTTTTAGTTTAGTTTATATACTTCATATACTGATTTTTGTTTTTCTTCCCTTGATTTGTTTTCCGTCCTGAGCACCAATGCTACCGACGCCATGGAGAAAGCTCCCATACCAGGACCCTACACAGAAAAACAAAACTACCCACCGCTTGGGTTTTTTAAACTCAAATTTGAGTTATTTGACCTCTGCCCGTTTCATTTCCTCTCGCTATTGTTGTCAAAAATAGAACGAAAGATTCGACTCAATCGTCTAGTTCCGTACGAGAAGCCAAAATTGAGTAATATGCGATATACCCAAATTTGAGTTAATTGAACTTAATTTTGGGTAGAAAAAATTGAAAATAACTTAGCGATGGGTATTTTTTTTTGCCGTGCTTAAATGCAAACTACTTTGAGCTGGTTTATCCAAATTTGGCTTATCGTACGGAACATGGGAGATGAGTGAAAAGAACTTAATTTTGGGTTGTTTTGAATTTCTGTGTACCAATCGACCCATCAGCTCATGAACCGGGGCCCAATGGCTTCACTTTCCTTCCAAAGGAAGGCGTGATCCTCAGCGCGATCAGAGATGTTATGCCTCAGAACATCCCGGCAGCATCGACTGGGATTGAACCCTGGCCTGCTGGGGTGAGAGGAAATCACGCTCACCCTACACCTCCAGTGCCGCTACTTCTTTTTGTTGATGGCATTTCTTTTTTTTTAATAAAATATTTTATTCGAGCAATCTTTATTTTACCATTGACACAAATAAGAAAATTCCGAAGTTAATAAAAAACCATGCGCACCCATTATATTTAAGTTCTAGAAATGATTACTTTTTACACATTTTGCTGTAAAAACCGTTCTTGAAAAATGTGTAAAAAATACACTTCGGTTGACGTTTGCTGGGTTTACACATAAATGTGTAAACGCAGTTTACACATTTTATGAGTAGGCCCTTTTTTTCACGTAATGTGTGAAATTTTACACATTAATGTGTTTACATTAAACACATAAATGAGTTAAAAAAATATACATTTTTTATATTTATATGCAGCTGTCAAAAATGTGTAAATTTGGAGATCTTAAAATGTGTAAAAAAAACACATTTTTAGAATGTAGTACCAATCCAAAAATGTGTATTTTTATACACATTCACGGAACCGAATTTTTTTCATTTAAATCAAAAATATAAATGTTCATTTTATAAAAATATACAAATTATACAAAAATATATATGTTTGAATTAAAGTCAAAAGCATGTTTATTTCAACAATATAGAATTTGGGCACTTACCAGATTTAAATAAAATGCTCCATTCACAAAATAAAAGCATTTTAAGATTGCACTCGTATACTTCCCCGTGGAAAATTTTGAAACCATCATCACTTTCATAGTTCTTCTATTCTCCACGCGTGCCAACTTTGATTTGCCAATATTTGGACAGTATTGGCAAATCAAAGTTGGTACTCGTGGAGAATAGAAGAACTATAAAAGTGATGATGGTTTCAAAATTTTCCACGGGGAAGTATACGAGTGGAATCTTAAAATGCTTTTATTTTGCAAATGGAACATTTTATTTAAATCTGGTTGGTGCTATGTTAGTAGAAAACTTAAGGACTACTCAATAGACAAATAATATAGAAAAATTCATTTCTTTTCAGATTTTTAGCTGTACACATAGATTTGAGCTTTTCTACCACTGTAGCAGCAACCAGATTTAAATAAAATGTTCCATTTGCAAAATAAAAGCATTTTAAGATTGCACTCGTATACTTCCCCGTGGAAAATTTTGAAACCATCATCACTTTTATAGTTCTTCTATTCTCCACGAGCGCCAACTTTGATTTGCCAACATTCAAGAGCAAATTTTCATTACGTCGAATGTAACAAAGGTAAACAAAGTCGAGCTATCAGTGTCAATCGATGCTCCTGCTATTACACTATATACTGTCCGAATATTGGCAAATCAAAGTTGGCTCTCGTGGAGAATAGAAGAACTATGAAAGTGATGATGGTTTCAAAATTTTCCACGGGGAAGTATACGAGTGCAATCTTAAAATGCTTTTATTTTGTGAATGGAGCATTTTATTTAAATCTGGTTAGTGCTACGTTAGTAGAAAACTTAGGACTACTCAATAGACATATAATACAGAAAACATAATTTCTTTTCAGATTTTTAGGTGTAAACATAGACTTCCGCTTTTCTACCACTGTAGCAGTAACCAGATTTAAATAAAATGCTCCATTTTCAAAATAAAAGCATTTTAAGATTGCACTCGTATACTTCCCCGTGGAAAATTTTGAAACCGTCATCACTTTCATAGTTCTTCTATTCTCCACGAGTGCCAACTTTGATTTGCCAATAGGATCACATCCCATTTTTAAATTTATTTACCAGTCGAATTGCTTTTTGACGTAATCACCTTCCGATCAAAATAGTTTTCGATGTTACTTAAGTCACCCAATTTCTATGGAGATACCGTTTGACTTAAGTAACAGCGCTGAGAAACCCGTGAAAAGTGTACGTTCGTCGTTTCGCTTTCTCATTATTAAAGTGAATCAATCGAACTGTTTGTTGCTAAGATGATTTCGGTGGTCCTAAAATGATGAATGGGCTGCACGTAAGGAGACGTAATTGATAATTCTCTCGAATATCCTGGTAAATACACTTTGACTTAAGTAACAATAGGGGCCACCAAACGACGTATAATAACTTTTGACTCAAAAACCAGTATTTCTTAGCATGAAAACTAGCGATTTGCCTTTGTATGATTAAAACCCGGCTAAATATGTTAAACATTGTTATCACTATGAGATTATATGTGTTTAATTGGAAATAGGAATAACTTTTCGGTCATCAAAACAAAACTTTATTTTTCTCGGATCGGTGCGAATGTTACTTACGACATAATGAAAATTTGCTCTTGATATAGTGTAATAGAGCAGGAGCATCGATTGACACTGATAGCTCGACTTTGTTTACCTTCGACGTAATGAAAATTTGCTCTTGATATAATGATTACTTTTTACACATTTTGCAGTAAAAACCGTTCTTGAAAAATGTGTAAAAAATACACTTCTATTGACGTTTGATGGGTTTACACATAAATGTGTAAACGTAGTTTACAAATTTTATGAGTAGACCCCTTTTTTCACGAAATGTTTGAAATTTTACTCATTAATGTGTTTACGTGTTATGTCGCAAGTAACATTCGCACTAAAGAGCCTGAATGATAAAAAGACGACATGTCAAAATTGGAACAATCGATTATCTGTCAAAGTCATATGAAAAGTCATTCCAATCGAGCAGAAGACCTGTCAAATGGATAAGATGTCATCTCTTTAATTTGCACCACCCGCATAGACGCGAACTACACGGACAGAAAATTGTTTGCATTGAACTAAACAAAACTTTAATTGTATTTAAACAAACAATTCCGGTTGAAATTATATTGCATTTTGTTGTTTCAATAATACTTATTCATATAAATTCAAAATAGGATTCTTTTTGTTTTAATAAGCCACTTTTCAACTGCAACTATTGTAAAAATAACAATATTCTATTATTAACACCGCAGCGATCCCATTCTGCCACAATGTGCAGCGATCCCATTTTGTCAAAACCATAGAAATTTGTTATCTTAGATAAAAATAATTTGCACGGAATAGATTAGACACGAACCAACTCATACATTTTGTATGCGTGTTTGTGGCTAGGATACACAATTTTCGCGAACACGGCGGCAGATGTCAGTTTTGTGCTTTGATCATAAATTTGATGATACTTTGTATGATCATTCATGTCGGTTTGTCGGTGTTATTAAGCCAACAATAGTTCATTTTATTTTAGCATTTATTTGCTGTGTCCATTCCCCGGGCCATGAATGCAAAAATAACTACCAACCATTCCCTCGTTTTCACCCGGACAAAAATGTAAACAATAACAAAACTTGTGAATTTCGGGAAATAAGTGCAAAATTTCCAAAATCTTGAGACTTGAGGTAAGTATGCTGCAGTTCGAGCTGCAGCGAGAGCTGCAGTTGCTAAATATAATCAATTTTCTGTTTTTGACGTAGGACTACGTCTTTGATTTCTATATGGGGGTACACTTTGTGAAAACCGAAAATGAACATGTAACAAATTAAGAAAGATTTTGAACGTTAATAACTCAGCTGCCTCTGGACCAATTTCAATAATTTTATCACCAATCGATCAGAAATATGGCTACGCATCGATAAAATGCTTCCGAATGTTGATTTTCAACAAGAAACTATTGAAAAAGTGGTAAATGTCCAGCATTTTCCAAAAGCGTCGAATTAACTAACAAATCCACCAATTACGTGCATGCATATGCTGCTTCCCCAGCACAGTCGTCAGAGAGTAGTAGGTAGACGAAACATGTCGATGTAGCATTACGACGAGGTTTGGTAGTTCAGTGGTTACCGTTTCTGCTTACTGGTCAATCCTGGCCTGTCCCCTTCCTTGTAATTTTTCACTTTGCCTTATTTTATCCCCACTAGATTTAAATAAAAAAACAAATTCTGCTTTAACCGATCGCATCACTTACCACAGTTAATCCTAATCTAAAAATAACCTACCTCAGTTACACAACTATCCTTCCCGAGACAGCCGTGGAGATGTAGAGGTATTCTCGGTCTCTAGTAACAATCGGACGTCGAACTAATCATCCTTCCCTCCCCAAAAGACCGTGAGGACGTGGCCGGCGCTGTGAATTGATCTATAGATTGAATTAATGTGTAATGTACATTGAAGATGGAAAGCTTATCCCATGCACCATCTATGTAGTTCTCTGTGCAAGTGGATTAGTTGTGATCATTCATCCGCGCCATGCGTAGGCGGATTTCGCCGATTAGAAGGTGATAGTCAGACGCGCGGAGGAGCAACTACGAAGTGCACGGTCAGATAACGTTAACTCGACGGCAAACACATTCATTGATACGTTGGATGATAGAAGAGCATAGCAGGAATAGTGCGAAATAGGAAGCCATGGTCATCATAAAAGAGGAAATCGAAAAAGAGAATTGGCTTACACCCTTCTGCTTCTAAGCCCCTTACAGTCATCGTCATAGCATCGCACCGCTTTTGGTTCTAGGGCACTTGCTGGTTGCAATTTTAGATCAGGATTCACTGTGATGCGATCAGTTGTAAGCAGCAAAAATTTCCTTCCCAACTCTCATGTGGAATCTTTTAGTGGCTCTGAAAAGGGCCGGTTTTGATAGATTTCGACGGAGAAATTAAAAGCGTTCACCACAAATACGAAGAGCCAGCTGAATGTCCTTTGGCATAATTGTGACACGCTTTGCGTGAATGGCAAACATACCGACCAGATAGGTCGGTTTATTTCACTCGTCGAGGGTATACTTATATCCGAGCTTATATCTGCATCAGGTAGCATATTATTAATACAGGGAGGGAACAATACATACAGCAAAATACTGAAAAGGGGAAGAGTTTCGCTTCTCATGCTACGGGCACAAAACGAGACACCACCGTCGAAACGACTATCAGTTATTCTCTTCCGAAGTGAACAATTTCATGTTGGACCGAAAACCAGTGAAAAGGCCGCTAAGAAGTCTGGAAAGGCGCAGAAAGTCATCGTCAAGGGAGAGAAGAAGAAGAAGAGACAGCGCAGGAAGGAAAGCTATGCCATCTACATCTACAAGGTGTTGAAGCAGGTCCACCCGGACACCGGAGTCTCGTCGAAGGCCATGAGCATCATGAACAGCTTCGTCAATGACATCTTCGAACGTATTGCTGCTGAGTCGACCCATCGTGGCTCAATACAACAAACGCTCGACGATCACGTCCCGCGAAATCCAAACTGCGGTCCGTCTGCTGCTGCCGGGTGAGTTGGCCAAGCACGCTGTCTCTGAAGGAACCAAGGCCGTCACCAAGTACACCAGCTCAAAGTAGATTCGTACCATCCAAACAATCAATCGATTTCCAACGATTTCACCAAGTACACCAGCTCAAAGTAGATTCGTACCATCCAAACAATCAATCGGCCCTTTTCAGGGCCACAAATCGATTTCCAACGTGAAAGATGATGTTTGAACTTTAAATGTTCGGAAGCAGCATTAGCAAAGTTCGCAATAAGAAATCAGTTGATTTGCCTTATGAAAATAATGTTGACAAAAAGAATAAGAGATTGTATCCATTACACTACACGACCGTACGGTTTTGACGTCTGTGATTTCTATATGGGGGTACACTTTGTGAAAACCGAAAATGAAACATAAAATAATTGTGACACGCTTGGCGTGAATGGCGAACAGACCGACCAGATAGGCCTCGCTGAATTCCTGGAGGGCCATTAACGGCCGAGCTCTGGAAGCGCAGATCGGTCTTGAAGTCCTGGGCGATTTCACGGACCAGACGCTTGAAAGGCAACTTGCAGTTAGCAGCTCGGTCGATTTCTGGTAACGACGGATCTCACGCAGAGCGACAGTTCCTGGCCAGTAGCGATGAGACTTCTTCACTCCTCCGGTGGCCATCTGTTTGAGAGGAGCCTTTCCTCCGGTGGACTTACGAGCGATCTGCTTGATGCGGCCATTGTACGATGAGGATACGTTGAACGCAATCTGTTGAATACAAATTTTAATTACCCAGCACAATCATGGGTATTGGCTCCAAGCAATATTTCATCAGATTCCAGACAAATCTGTACGATAGTAAATAGAACAGAAAATGAAAATATAAAAATGAGGTAAGGAAAATAATTAAAATATGGTTCAGATTAATACCTGGCTGAATAAAGAACCACATTACCATTTATTATATAAGACCACGTAGTCCTACGTCACCATTGCGTACTACCCCATAAGGCTGTCCCTTGTAGTTTTTTCCTTGATTTTTTTTTTCCTTTGATCTTGTTTTCCGTACTGAGTACCAATGCTCCTGACGCCAGGAAGGCAGCTCTCACACCTGGACTCTACATATCGACCCATCAACTAATTAACCGAGGACCAACGGCTTTACTTCCCTTCCGAAGGATGATCAGTGAAATAGAAAACAAAACATAAAAAATTGGCCATATTATTTCCGGAGTGATTTGAGATTTGGGCGTAATTGCATTTGTAAACAAATACGTCAATCACCGATTTCTTGCGAATAAAAGCTCAATCTCGAAAGGTAATAACACTATGAGCAATTACGCCCATTCTCAAATCACTCCGGATTTTTTAATCAATAAACATATTTTTATTTCTAGTGCGTGAATTGTCAGACTTCATATAATAAATATGATACAGAAAATTTGCCAAACTTTTGGAAACATTTAGCATCCGGAAAGTCACGAGTCTGATCCTCCGGAAGACCCGGAAAATCCGAAAAGTGGTCAATTCATGAAACTAATCAAAGAGCTCCGCGGTTTTTTCGAAACCGCTTATAGATGTCTTATCAGAATTAATTCGCAGTTGTGACCTGAATATGGACCCAGAGGACCACGGGATGGTCCTCCGGAAGATCCGGAACATCCGTAAAAGTGGTCAATTCATGAATCTGATCCTAGAGCTCAGCGGATTTTTCGAAATCACTCCTAGACGTCTTATCAGAATGAATTCGGAATTGTGACTGGAATATGGACACTGGAGACCACAGTATGGTCCTCCTGAACATCCGGAACATCTGTAAAAGTGGTTAATTCCTGATCCTAGAGCTTCATGGTTTTTTCGAAACCGCTCATAGATGTCTTATCAGAATAAATTCGGAGTTGTGACCTGAATATGAACCCAAGAGACCAAGGGATGGTCCACCGGAAGATCCGGAACATCCGTAAAAGTGGTCAATTCATGAAACTGATCCTAGAGCTTCATAGTTTTTTTTCAAAACCACTCATAGATGTCTTATCAGAATTAATTCGGAGTTGTGACCTAAATAAGAACCCAAGAGACCATGAGACGGTCCACCGAAAGATCCGGAACATCCGAAAAAGTGGTCAATTCATGAAATTGATCCTATAGCTCTGTGGTTTTTTTTAATCACTCATAGACATCTTATCAGAATGAATTCGAAGTTGTGACTGGAATATGGATACTGGAGACCACGGGTTGGACCTCCAGAAGATCCGGAATATCCGTAAAAGTAGTCGATTCATGAAGCTGATCCTAGAGCTCCGTGATTTTTTCGAAACCACTCATAGACGTCTTAGCAGAATGAATTCAGAGTTGTGATCCAAATATGGACCCTGGACCCTGGTCCTCCTGAAGATCCGAAACATCCGTAAAATTGGTCAATTCATGAAACTGATGCTAGAGCGTCATGTTTTTTTTTTTACACCGCTTATAGACGTCTTGTCAGAATGAATTCGAAGTTGTGACCTGAATTTGGACCCAGGGGACCACGGAATGGTCCGGAACATGCGTAAAAGTGGTCAGTTCATGAAACTGATCCTAGAGCTCAGCGGATTTTTCTAAATCACTCCTAGACGTCTTATCAGAATTTATTCGGCGTTGTGACTGGAATATGGACACTAGAGACCACAGTATGGCCCTCCTGAAGATCCGGAACATCTGTAAAAGTGATCAATTCATGAAACTGATTCTAGAGCTTTATGTTTTCTTTTAAACCGTTCATGGACGTCTTATCAGAATGAATTCAAAGTTGTGACCTGAATATGGACCCAGGGGACCACGGAATGGTCCACCGGAAGATCCGGAATATCCTTGGATAATTCATGAAACTGATTCTAGAGCTTCCTGGTTTTTTTCAAAACCGCTCATAACCGTCTTATCAGAATTAATTCGGAGTTGTGACCTGCAGATGGACCCAGGCAACCACGGGATTTGTCAATTCATGAAACTGATCCTAGAGCTTACCTTCAATGACGTAAAACTCCACTTTTTTCATGTCATTTTTTTTATTGTACCATGTCTCCCTCTGGACTAAGTATCCCCACCCTCGCCTGCATTAAGGTCTAGCTCAAAGGACTAATACATTAACATCTTGATGATGAAGTCTGTTGGTTTGGACGGCCTAGATTTCAGAATTTATTGTTTAAAGAAAAATATAACAGGTAAGTTCAAACGATATAAGACGAACAAGCCTCGTTTATTATTGCTCATTTCCCTTCAGTTCCCAAAGGTATTCAGTCAAGTCGTTTTGTAGCTGTTTATGAAGAAATGTATCATGAACTTTATCGAAACGTGCTAGAAATGCTCCAAAGTCAACTTCACCCGTCGATAGAACAGGATTAGTATTGGCCGAGGTGTTGCCATCAAATGGCGTTGAACAATCTCGCTGATCTTCAATAATCATTTTGTGGAGAATAATGCAAGTGCGCATGATTGATCCCTACTCTTTCTTATTCCAGAGTCTGGCAGGGTTTTTAATAATTTCAAATCGACTAGTCAGTACTCCAAAGGTGCGTTCTACATCTTTTCTCGCGGATTCCTGCATTTCAGCAAAGTGCTATGTTGAAAAGAAACAATAAATTAAAAACTTAAATATTAGCAATGAAAATTTAACACCCATATTCTCGTTTTCGTTCGAACCTTTTTTCCACACAAAAAAATGGTATACGATTCGAACGAAAGCAGGAATATGTATATCTACATACCTTTCGTTTATTGCCAACGGGTGATGGAATCGTTTGAACCAACGTGAACAATGGTGGATAAATTCCATCGGCCAGGTAGTGTCATGTGTTGTAGATGTGACCGTTAATTACATACTCCACAGGAGGAGCTTTTCCACTGTAAATATCGGAAAACAACGTAAATCTTTGCATCTGGCTTTTGGATGAAATATTCGTTCCGCTAGCCGTTGAGCTCCTTCCTCCGCAAACCTGTTTATGTTTGGTCGTTTTCCAGGACGAGATCCTCTATGTTTTTCCCCTGATTCTGCTGCTGCCGTTGAAAGTGCATGAAACATTACCTGCTGGGCGAATACAAGTTCGTCGAATTCATCGTCACTCGAGTCCACAAAAATTTTAGAATCATCCATTGCAATCAAATATTTACTACACTTCAAGCTGAACAATGCATTAGGTCCTAAGTAACATTGACCGATTCTCTTCGTCGACTTTCTCTTTGTATCACCACGACCATGTAAAAACATTCACAGCTATTTTCAGCACACATATCGATTTATAAAGCATCTAATACGACAAACTCAACAAGAAACGGTTCTGTGCTCAAGTTATTAACGAAAGAGAAATTCGACGAAGAGAATCGATCAATGCTACTTAGAACATAATGCAATGTTCAGCTTGAATTGTTATTATCGTTTGTTTTTACTACGATGCGAAGTAACTACCCGAAAAAAAAATTACAGTGAAATTTTCAGTGGAAACAATGCTCTGACATTAATATTTATTGTCGACAATAAAAATGATTGTTATAATGTTGTACCCTTCCGAAAACGGCAAAACTGCTACCTATCTGTACAATGAATGTACATAATAAAATGTTGTTACAATGATTTTTATTTTATTTTTCATTTATTTTATTGTTAACATGATTCGATCACGAACAATAATGAACAACTCTATTACAATAAAAATTGTTGTTACATTAAATATTGGTGTGTTTTCATTGTGGGTTACTTCACGAACAATAAAAATAAATCTGATTGAAGCATGCAGACTATGAGAGGGTCAGCAACACTGCCAATGTAATTAAGATAGGCGCTGGTCATATGGCTCTTGCTTTGACAGTTCGTTTGGCTCTATTCGTTGCCAAGTCAATTGAACGCCTACGACCAGATCGGTTTGAGTTGAACTCAACTCTCCTGTATCATCTAAATCCCGCTTAATGCAGACCTTTTCCGTGCAGTCAATAATCATACAATAATAATAGAAAAATCCACCACTTGAAGATGTCATGAAATAACTCTCAGGTGGAAGCATATT